TTGTTAAATCTTGTATAAAAAAAAGGTACTAGTACTTGCTTAATCTGATAAAGGCCTGATCAAGATAATCGATATGACCAATTTCTACTGCAAATATTTTAGAAAGAGATTTGTAGATTTGATCGTTTTGATATCATGCTTGTGTAGACTTATACAATATTTATACTCGTGTGTAATGTAAAAAGTATGTTAATTTTTAACTGAAGTATGCTATTTTTAGCTGGTGAACCATATAATCAGTGGTGTACAAAAGAAAAAGAAGCCAATGTTGGTCCACTTTTCTTCACAGTCCTTATCATTAATCCCCAAAGCAAATAAATACAATGTGCTATACTGTTGTGCAGTATTACAGAATTGAGTATAATTGAATGGTCTTTGATGGTTAAAAGGTCAGTTTTATTATGCATTATAATCCATGGCAACTAAACAGATTGCTGCATCACTGACTTATCTGAATGGGAAAAATTGGATGTGATTATTGAATTTTAATAAGATAAAAGAAAGTTAAATTAATTTCTAATTGCTGTGTAGAATTATCAGTTCAGTGGTCCCCTTCTCTCGAAGTTCTGAATTGAATGGAATTATCAATAGGCTGTTCACTCGAAATAGCATACAGAAAAATACTCATCATCCAAAAATTTGCTACATAGGGGATGGTTGTTTACTAAAGGAATAAGAAGTGGCTTCAACTTGTTGGTCATATACCCTAATATATCATTCTTACTTAAAATGAGAAACTATCTTAACATTTCATCTGTTGCTGAGTCATACCATTTTATCTTTTGTCCTCGCAAAAGTTAATATTTCAAGTTTATACTGATTTATTTATTATATTCGTGGGGTTCTAGCATTCTTATGCTTAATTTTTCATACTAAAATTGCCATTTAGGAAGGTGAGGTAGTTATGAATAGATTCATTGAGACCAGGCAAAGGATTGTAAAGCCAACTCATCTCCTTTCTGAAGGATATCAGTCCATGACCCCAATATTTACTTATATACTGAAATTGTGCTTAGGTTTAAATGTTCTGTATATTTTTTTATTGTGATATTTCCTTAGCTGGTCTAGCTATTGTTCTTGGCACATACCATGAGAAAGGAGCAGGGATGTACTGGGGGACAGTGAACAAGCTGCCACTACAAGGAAATCATATAATATGTTGGAAATTCTGTCATATTCTCCATAAAATATTGAGAGATGGACATAAGATGGTCAGTAGCAGTAGTGATGACTGAAGTGATTTTAACTAAAAGGCATAACAACGAATTTGTGGTTTAAAATATTCTATGTAAACAATCTTCATTGGTGTAAAATGTTCTGTGTAAACAATCTTCATTGTATTTTGATACTTTTCTCTTCACTTTTTCTGTCTATTAAAAATATAGTTCAGTAAATTTTTAGGATGCACTTTAAATTGAAATCCATTACCATACTTGGCCAATATGAGTCACTACACTTACTCACATTTTCAACCAGTGCAATTGAAAAGTTGTTAACATGGTATATTCATGTGATCAGTGTAAGTTATTTTTATATCTAGGCAAATTGTGCGCTATGCCTCTTAAGTTTATCCAAGTTAGTTATATTAAGAATTAATATCTTAAGAATACAAATGATTTAAATTCAGGCTCAATTTGTTATTTTAGTATCAGCATTAAAGGTGTTAAGGATTGCACACAGGAAAAATGTTTTTAAATGTTGATAAGATGAGGATGTTTTGATTGTCCAGAGCCCTACGTGTGTGTGTGTGTGTGTGTGTGTGTGTGTGTGTGTGTGTGTGTGTGTGTGTGTTTGTGTGTGTGAGACAGCCGAGATTCAATCCACACAGAGTGGCAATCCACTTAATTAAGGTGACAATTGTATACAACAAATATTGAAGTGGAATACAATGTATGTAACGCTCAGACATCTGTGCCATCATTCCAGGCAATTGTTGATTCCTTGAAGTACATGACTCACTTGACAGATCTGGGAAAACTGTGGGTAAGTGCCTGGAATCCATGTAAAACAATATCTAACTACCTTGACATTAGAGTCACATTGGCAGATGTGAATAGCAAATATAGTAATAATATATTATAATTGGAATTTTTGTATTGAATGTCAATAAGGCAAAATGAAATAAAAAGACGATTTTGTTCAACTTTTATCCCAAATCCCCTTTTAATTCTTTGAGGGGTTATTTACAGCATATTGGTTTTTTGTAAAGAGAAAATGATAAACATTGCAGGGAAAATGCCTTTAGTAGGTATTCATCGTGATTGTAATTTTAATATTTCCTAAAGGGCCATTTAAAAGAAGGCTATGGTAAATTGATTGGTGCCTATACCAAACTGCTGGTGCAAAAATTGGCATTCCACAAAAAGGTAAGTTCCAGAAATAACCATCTTTGAGGCATATATGGATTTGTGTGATGACTGCATGAGCATAATATCTAATTGCCATTTTTAATGTTTTTGTGGTGCAATAATCTGCTCCCAAAACTTGGGAATACTGTAATATAGTGTTAACTTGTACGTTAATAAAGATTAAAAGTTACAACAGCACTGTTTTTGAACATCTGTTTTTTTTTTTTTTTTAATTGAGGAATTTCATACGGTATAGAATGACAAGAAATCTTGCCTTTAAGATGTTTACCCGTATGTTACATTCCATTTCCAGAACCCTAACATTCCAGGGAATTTGGTGCTTACAGATCAGCAGCTAGATGAGATGGCTGGAAGAGATCCAAATGGATAGTAAGTGTTAAGGAAGCTACCTGCAGAATTGAATATTCATTTTTATACAAACAGTTGGCATGCTTCAATATAAGGGCATATTTGAACACCCTTTTATCTTATCATGACATAAATTTTTGCTGTGTCATCAACTGCAGTAATCTTGTTGATAAATAATTTAAATATAATTTTTTGTTGTTGGATCAGGGTGCCAAGCATTATTGCACACAGATGAATGGCCAAAGCAATGAAAAATTAAAAGAGAACATCATATAAAGAGTGAGGGAATGTGTTATTAAATCAATAGCAAAGCGAAGTTGTGCATTTATTTCAGTTTTGAGCTGAGTGTGGACATGCTAGATTACATGGATGAGATTCTGAGTCTGCAAGCTGCAGGTTTGTAATAAATAATACAATTATTATTATTATTATTATTATTATATAGGACATAATTTTTCAATGACTGATCATGTTCCTCAGTCATATGATATAAACCACTGGAACATGTCATATTTACATTTTGTTGGATCTTGTGTTCAAACGTTTCAGTAGGACTTATATATGCTCACTTAGATTCTTTAAAGTGCATTCCCTTTTCCTTGATATAGAAATATTTTTATGCAAAAACAAATTGTACAGTTATGTATTATGATAATTGTAAGCCATATAATATCATTTCAGTGTTTAATTCCCTGGACATGTCTCGTTCCAACTCAATGACCAACACAGGCCAGTGTCGCCTGGCACCTCTGATCCAGTGTATACAGGACTCCTGTGCTCTGTATGACTATATAGTAAAACTGCTATTCAAGCTCCATGCAGGTCAGGAAATATGATAATACAGCTGAAGATTTTTCCTTGTGATGAAATAATGCTGCTGAGATTAATTTGCTAATCTCATTAATATCCATTATATCAGTTTTAGGAAAAAAAGAAAGAAAGAAAAAGAAAGTATAATTGTCTACTTCCAAGATCATCTTACTTAAGATTTTATTTTGCTGTCTAAAATGTATAATTGGTGGGGTTATTTAGTCTGTTTATTATTTCAGTGATCCCTCCAGATACACTTAGTGGACACCGGTCAAGATTTCTAAAGCAGTATGGTCTGTAAGTTGCATTCTCTTACTAATTGTCTAGGTACTATCTGGTTTGGGCGTATCTCCATATAAACACTACATATGAGTGTGTATCACAATGAAAACATCAGAAAAAAAAATGCTGTGCACCATAAATATATTTTTGACCTAGTGCATTATTGTTCTGTGTTCAAATTCTAGGCTGAAGACCTTTTACCTAAGCTCTGGAAACCTGCAATATTTCAAGACACTTATACAGGTACCAGTGCTACCTGAGGTGAGACAACATTGAGCTTTGCTTAAAACTAATGGTTAACAAAATATAATACAGAAAAATAGTCTTAGTAGTCTTAGAAAGATGGTGAACAATTACTAAATTAATAGACATACTGACAGGTTAGTGCTCAATGAAGATATTTTATAAAATCAAAATGATATAGATGGTACACATTGCTTTCTGTTTACAGAATCCTCCCAACTTCCTCATTGCCTCAGACTTAGCAAGTCATGTGACACCAAAAGTAGTTCTTCCCCCAGAGCCAGAGATTGAAACTCCAGAGGTGGAGACTGTGACAGCAGACCTAGTGGACACCACTGTACAACAGGTAGGGGCAGTATGGTGTAGTAGCTCATTTTTTTTTTACGGAATGATTAAAATTTGAGAGGTCTCCTTGATGTTTTAAAGGTAAATGTGTATGTTCAGTCTTCAATACGCTTGCTGTTACATTTTGAATTGTAACATATAGATTTTTGCTTTATTTGTTGAAAGCTTCAAAAAGCGTATGAATATATTGTTTGGTCTTCTTAAAGTTTATGAACTGAATAGATTAAAGTAATGTTTTTTTTTTTCAGCATCATTAAAAGTAATATAAAAACCATGCTTGCTCTAACATGGTTAAATTGTCGTCATTTACTATAAACTAATTTTTAAGATTTAAATTTTTTTATCTTGGAGGCATATTTTTATTTCAATTCAAGTTTTGTAATACAAATTTTTTAGGTGTTGAACTTGCCTTACAAAATAAATATTCAGTTGTGCTGTTACTAAAAATGCGTTCTTTAACTAAATGGAATTAACTTTTAAGGAAATTGTATTATTGTATATTTTGTGCCTTCATCAGTCGGATAAATTTGATGAAGTGTTTGGCACTAACCTTGGTGATTTCAACTTCTCTGGTCAGAATGGGACACCTTCTCCTCCAGTTCCTGATGAGAGGTATGTATTGGAAGTGGGCAACTGAGGGGCAGGCTTCTTTTTTGAAAGGCTCTCATATATTAACATTCACATATTACTAACCTTGTAGAATATTTAGGTTGTATTATATACACTAATGTGTCCATGAAATGGAATGCAAATGTTTTTACTTATTTATTTATTTATTTTTTTACTAACATTCAAATTTTGCTTGTTTTAGTCATCTTACAAAGTTCCATTAAATGACTATTTATAGTGTTGTAAAATGTGTTTTGCAGCAACCCTTAAGCTTTAAACTACTAAAGAATTATTAAAAGTGTGGTCTAGCTGAATAGGTTAAAAATGCCATTGTCCATATTGCTTTGACTTACTATGCTTTACTTACTATATTTTAACTTGTATTATAATAACTTTGAAAATGGAAAAAGTAGCACTAATCAACAAATGGCACAAGTATTTCTTTATCACTTTCATATCTTGACAATTAAGTTTTAGAGCTCTTCGATCCTGCCATCCCAATTAATCTTCCAGTAACTTCTTTATACCTTTTCCTGCCTTTTAAATAGTGCATTGTTTGCATTGACTGTTTTAACCTTATTGCAACAAAGTTGGCATATAGTTGCAGATTGTGGCTTCTCCTGAGTATACTAACAGTATATAATTGATGAGCTTTTCTCATGCCTCTTCCAGGAGTATGTAACCAAACTTATAACAGGGGCGGATCCAGAGCTATTTACTGACAGTCTTCCAAATTATCTTTGTTGATTCATCCTCCAATTTTGACCGTCTTCCAACAGAAAAAATTAGATACCCGTCAATGTAAACTTGAAAATCTGACCGTCTTCCGGAAGACCCAGAAGACGGCCTAAATCCGCCCCTGTATAAGGGGTTCAACTCAATGCACCCTGGATTTCAGANTAAATCCGCCCCTGTATAAGGGGTTCAACTCAATGCACCCTGGATTTCAGAAGGCGTTTTAAATTCCAGTCAACAGATACTGGAAACAGTAGTGGCTTGCTAATATGTAATAGATATATGAATTTCCCGTGTCTTCTGATATCTGGGGTGGCTGAATGGGAGAATTAGTGAATATAGAGTATTGTATCTGGACATTGTTTTCTTGAATATATTCTGTTATATAATTTTATTCTTTTAAATTAAATCATCATATAAGGTCATTGAGATAAAACCATTTTGTCAGGAGACTCATTATGGAAAGCAGTCTGTTACCCTTGTTTTCATGGATCAGGACCTTGTTTACTGTTTGGTCAATGTATGCACAGACCCTAGTTTCTTTGCTTACAGGGATCAGTTAATACAGCAGTTGATGGCAGAGATTGAAAGGCTAAAACAAGAAAATGCTAGATTAAAAGAAAGGGTGAGAATCTGTTAAATAAACCAAGATGCTTTCTTACAGATTAATATCTGTGGCTTGTTAACACAAAGTTTAAAGGAAATATATTGAATTGAAAATTAAAATAAATATTATTGAATATGTATTGATTAGTATTTTTATTTCCATGATTTTAGTTTTGTATTTGTGTGTGAAAATTAATGAAATGTAGTTATAAATGAAGTAGAAAAGTGTTATCTGGTTTAAGATGAATATTTATCTTATCTAATGCAAACTTTCCCCTAGGCGGAAGAAGCTATTGGTATTCTGAAGCAACGTATAGCTGATCTAGAAGAGCGTTTGGAAGAAATGAAAAAACAGGTGCAGGAAGCTGAGCAAGTAAGAACATATTAATTGCATATTTATGTAAGGTCTTGATTTAATTAAAGCTAATATTTTGAACAGCAGACATTGCCAGAACAAAATATTTGTGTCCAAAATTGTAAAATAATTTCAAACATTTATGTAAAACATATTTTTTCAGGAAAAGGAAAACATGAAATCCCAGTTAGAAGCCTCTGCCAAAGATACAGCAGCAGTTGCCAAGTTAGAAGAAATGGAAAGTAAGTGCATTAGAATAATGTTATGTTGGTTCTACTGAAGTATTTTCCCTCTAACATTTTTATTTTCATAAAGAATTAGGTTATATTGCTAACCTGTTATTCTTCTGCATATATTAAGTAAGCTGCTCTCGTTTTTTCACAATAGATGATAGCTGAATAAAATATTGCAAACATTTCGATGTAATAATTGAATTGGGGAAAAGATTGCTTGGCTTATTATAACAACTAGGCAAAGGTTCTTGAAGAGAAATTATTCATTGTTAACTGTGAGTATTATACAACAACTATAATTGCCACTGAATTACTTCTAAATATGTTTGTAATATTTGTTTTGCAGAGCATGCCAAAGCTAGTGATGAGAAATTTAAAAAAATGAAAGACATATATGGAAAACTGCGAGAGGAGCATGTCACACTGATTAGATCAGTAAGTTTTTTATTCTAACTCTGCTGCAATAAGGTTAAAAAATAAAGAATAAAAAAAAATTGTTTCATTGGAAGTTTGGAAGTTAATGTTGTTCTGGATAATTTTTTTTTTTTTTTTTTTTGTATTAAAATTATGTAAAATGTGAACAATTGTTTTCATTTCAGTTTGCTGAAGTTGAAAAGCAAGTAAAAGCTGACAAAACGGTCATTGAAGAAAAAGAACAATCAAGAAAGGTAAAATGAAAAGCACTTATGTTATTTGAGAATCATTTTGTGAAATTGATTTTAAACTAGAAACTAAAACTTAACATAATTAAAATAAAAGACCTCAAGAACATAGATGTGTAAAGTTACAAGTTAATGGCAGTTTTTGTTTCAATATACAGGCATTAGAGCAGGAGTTAGAGCAAGTGAAAATGGAACAGCAGGTGTTTTCCGAGAGTCTTCAGAAAAGTGCTGATGATGTGTCCTCTCAGCTGGCAGCCACTGCTGCGCTCAATACAAAGTTGGAGCAGGAGAAACAAGTAAGAGATAGTTTGCTTATAGACTGCAAAGATTCTTACATTTGATTTTTGCTTTAATCTGACATATTAGAAGCATGAGGGTGCTAATTTTTATACAGCCAGCCCTTGAAGTAAACAGCACATTGCCAACAGCTTTGGCCTTTGACTTCAGATTTTTATGAAGTCAATTATTTTGTTTTCTCTGTAGTCTCTAGAGGAACAAATGGAGTCCTTGGATAAAACCAAGTCTAGTTTAGAGTCATCACTCAGTCAGCTTCAGTCAGATCTTGCATCATTACAAGAACAATTGGACCAAGCTAAAGCAGACAAAGAAACAACACAAAATCAGCACAAAATAACCTTAGGAGAAATGGAACAGAAAATGTTAGGTATGTATGTACATATCTCTGAAGACATGTATACATGCTTGATGATGGAATAATGCTTATTAGACTTTTAGGACAACATTGACAGATCGTTTTTATTTTAAAATCAAAATTTAAACATCAGGGCCCAGTTTTATAAAGGACGTTTAGCACTAACCAGTGTTTAACTCTAACCAGACCTAAATAGTCTGTTAGTAAAATGACCTTTAAATAATTATTTAATCCAGTTAAACACTGGCCAGTTAACTAATTGGCTGTTTTCCATCAGAAGACTGTATATGAAACACAATTTAACCATCTTTTAGTTAATGGGTGTTAGGAGAATTTATCCACTGGTTAGGCTTATCCACTGGTTAGTGCTAAACGTCCTTTATAAAACTGGGCCCAGCTTGTTGAATAGAACGCTTTCTCGGTCTGATATTAAGAAAGAACACTTGGGGATCAGCAACAAACTCCGTTTTAGATGTGATCCCATAATTTTGCTGATAATTTTGAGGGATAGTATTTTGGAAGCATTGAAGTCAGTGTGCTACATTTCACCGTTATTTTTCAGATCGTGCCATAACTGAGGGAGAAGCCATACTTCAGGATGCCATTGACCAGTTTGACAGCTCTGCCCACAACTCTGTGATGGGAACTGCAGGTAGGTCTATACTTCTATTTAAATACTCATTTCCATAGTATCATGTTTCAATATTTAGCACACACACATGCATGCACACGCACACACACACACACACACACACACACACACTGCTTGGAGCTAATTAGTTTAGAGTAAGAGAGTTTAACTTTTCAGACAGAGATTTATGCTTCATATATCCATCAATTTGTTTCAGTTTTTATTTGATTATGAGTTACAGTTTATTGTGTATAAAAACATTTTTATCATTTAATAATTTAAATTGATTCAGGTATGACCTAATTGCACAACTAAACTTTTGTTACAGAGTACCTCTTGAGTCGAGCTGAACCAGTTCTTCCCTTACTAGCAGAATTCAAGCAAAGCATCAAGGGATATGGAACTGATAAGGCTTGTACGTAACTTGTACTGAATTGTACTTAAATTAACAGTATATTCCCCTATTATTTTTAACCTTAGTATATAATGTAATTAGAAAACACATATTTCATTGTTTATAAATCTTATAAATTATATTGGTTTTATTTATTTCAGTATTAGACAAACTAATCCACGGCATCCTAACTTGCTCCCATGGTCTTGGGGAGACCATTGTACAAGGAAAGTCAACATCAAATTCTGCATCAAATGTGGAACAGGGGGATGGTGGGTATTCCTTGAGAAATTATTGTAAAAAATTATTACTAGCTAATGTAAGTAGCAGAGTAACACTGAATTGCTTTGCATATTTACTGATCATATGGGGGATATGATTAATGTTATTGTTATTAAGACAAAGATCATTAATAGAAAAAGTAAGAGTACACATGGTAAAAAATCATTTTAGTGAACAAGAGTATTAATATGGAAATAACTTGTGTACTACATATTTTCAGAATTGATAAATGCCTGTCGGGGAGCTGGAGAGGAAGGTCTACAAGTGTTAGAATTGTTAAAGAAAGGTGAGATATTGCCTGATGATAATATTATTCACATGTGGAAGGCTTATACTAAGGCCAAGTCTTTTTCTTTTGTGACCTAAGTAGTTCTTTTGTAATACAGGATTAAGTAGCTATAGTTATCCCTTAATTCTCTTGATGTGTAATGTATAAGCACTTCAGTGAAAGAAAACCCGGGAATATTGACTTATTGCTAACCTATTCTCCTTGTACACTTCCTCGAAATAGGTGCCTTAGATGATGCTAGTTCTCAGCTGGACAAGGTGACAGAGTCGGTACAGAAGATCATGCAGCTGGGAGAGACTCTGCTTCCTAAGGTAGAGGAC